ACTTTTAGAGCAGCAAGCAGCAAGTAAATCCAAAATGCTAAGGCTAAAGCCAGCACAGGAGTATATATTAATTATTTATGAAGATGAGTTGGAAGTCTGGCTGTCTGTGTAGGGAATACAGTTTCACATCAATAGGAGATTAAACAGGGTGCCAGACAAAGCACATTATCATTCAGATGCTGAAGTGAAGTTTGAGATGACATGAATATCACAGTTTTTAAAAATGCTGTGACAGTATGGCTCGATTGCTTTGCCGGTCATAAAATGTACTACCCAACTGTTTGATTGACTGTGATGAAAACTACAAACATTCACACCCTGCTTGGGTTGATTTGCAATAGACGTGATGATCCCCTGACTTTTCATCTAGCACCATCATCAAGTCAAATATCTTTGTTAATTGAGGTTCTTTAGATAAGCCCATAGTGTAACTGCACATATACTTTCATTTGCTATTTACATTTTCTCTGTTTCCTTTTTTAAATGTGCAATAAAACATACAAAACATCTAAATAGTTTAAGTTTCTCACTCCAAACTAAATGCTAAAAATGCTGGGAAGGTCAAGATTTGTGGGACGTGCATATGAGAATTATTGTATCTGATTTGGCCCTCAACAGTTGAGATCTGTGCCCAAATCTGTAAACACAAGCTGTCTCAGACGCCAGATGTGCTGTGCAGGTATTTCTGCAGTATAAGGGTCCAAGATAAGAGATGCTTCAAGACGAATGAAACATGGCTGCTTTGGTATTTAATCATGCTTGTGGTTAGCTACTTACCAAAGGTAATAAATATGTTCAGCACTCCCGTCAGTTGTAATTGAATTCTCTTGACACATACGCTCTGGGGAGTTGAGATAGCGTGCAATCAATACTTTATACCACTGCAGTTCTGGGCCAATAGTCTTCCACGTCAGCTCTGCAGCTCTAATACATATCTGGATGAAGCCCAGTGGATTGGGAGGGGAAGATCTTCAGGGATTTTGTATCTCACTAATGGGATTTCTCATGTGAGTGGTGATGGGACGGTGACTCGGCTGCAATTTCATCAGGTCTCATTCTTTTTAAGTAATTGGAGAATATAGCAGGAACATGCTTCTGATTTGGAGCGCAAGGCTGTATTGCATACTCCTTTCCTTCTTAAAATTGGACAGATAGAAATGTTTTGGCCATTCAATGTATGGCCATCAGCCCTCTGGGAAATAGTTTGGTGAGACAAAACTTTGTGAAGAAAATGATCAACTGGGCATTTTATCTTCGCCCTAATGTTATCCGTCAATGAGGAAGAAGGATCTTTCAGAAACTGGAAAATCAGTCTTGGCCCAGACAACAGATGTTTCTTCTTTTCAAGAATAATGTTTTGAAAAGTCAGTTTAAAGATCCTTACACACATAAGGACGATAGATTTCTATAGATGTCTGGCCGTCGATGAGCGTCCTGTCGCCCTACTCAGATTGGTGTGTCCCGCCCCGTCGTGTCTTTTCGGCCGTGCCGACACTTTCCGCCGCCTGTCGGTAAAAGGCCGTCGGCTAAAGAAATCGCTCTGATTGGCTGTTCAGCTTAGCGAATCAGTGCATGAGAAGCAAAACGGAAGTGAGGGACTCAAACAAACTATTAAGAAGGCAAATATGAGATTTCATTGAACTCCAGCTCTCGACACAGGTTCGGGAAAGCCCTGTGAGCTTCTCGCTGTAGAGTGAAAATGGAACGCACACGCTATTTGTTGTTTGTTTATATCACGCAGTCTGTCTTCTGGTTGTTGCCTCTTTTGAATGACGAATACACACTACCGCCGCCTGCTGGTAAGGAGAGTTATTGCTACTCACGCATGCGCAGTTCGTACGTGCTACTTGGCCGTCGGCTGAAGTCTTTGCGGTGTGTTCCAGTGCGACTGTTGGCCAAGACGCAGGAGACGTGAGGCGACACAACAATCGGGTCCGTCGGGACGTGTTCTTTGGTGTCAGTTTGGTGTGTAGGCCCCTTTAGGTGACAAATCTTTCAAGAATTTGTCTAGGTTAACGTTCATGTCTATTATACTGTACTATCGTCCCTCAAAGCTGTTAGCACATCAACCAGGTAACTGACCTTCCAGTGTTGTGGTTGATACGGCTGATATTCACAGTAGATCTTGCATGAAAAAAAGAGTGGCAAGCGGAGTATAACATATTTTTCTTTCTCGGAGTAACGGCCCGTCCACATGGCAGCGTGCGTTGCTTCAACGGAGACGCTTCCCATTCACTTTGAATGAGGTGACGTCATGCTTTGCCGAACTGCATTGTGGTTCCGTCGCGTCGCTTTGCCTCTGTTGCTCGCTTTGAAAGTTGAAAAAAGTTCAATTTTCAAGCGTAGTCAAATCATATAGCCAATCAAACCGCGTGCTTGTGTGTCCAGGGCGGGAGATTAATGTGATTGGTTGTTTTTCACACGCCAGACACGCCCACCGGCAAGCTTCAAGGCACGCTGCCATGTGGACCATGGATGTATAATAAGAACTGGATACAGCGTGGGAGGCGGGGTCTCGTTCTTTCCTATGAGATCTGCTCATTGGCACATGAAGTCAAAATGGCCCAACTTTTGAGAGAGCGATACGTCACAGATTACCCGTCCTGCCTGGCTGCCAGAGCAGAAGAACCCGTATGTGCGCTCACAGAGCATGCGCCCCTTAAGCCCCGCCCCCCGAGCTCCCACTTTCGGCCTCACTAGAATGAATGGAAAGAGAAAATAAATCTAGATTCGGCTTTTAGTGCATTTTACAACTTTAAGGACCGAATGATTCTAATAATGGCTATAAAATAGTTAATACTGGGCTGTTTATTTAGTTAAAAAAAATTATCCACCGATTTACAGACGTCTCTTTCCCCATGTTAGTCAATGGGAAAAAGTTGTTTTTGGCCCGGGTGACGTCACGGACTGATACGGGAGTTGCGGTTTGGACACAACGAATGTTGGGCACAGAGTCCGGCGCACTTCCTGGGGGCTTGGTGTGGACGTACCGTAACAAAGTCTAATTATCAATTTGAAATGATTGAATGCGGATGAGGTTTTTAGTTATTTTATTTTACATTTTTAGGCAATTCACTGTGTATGAACTTTGATCAAAGTTTCAAATGCTTGTATGGAAAATTGCATGGCTTCCCAGTACCTTTGAAATGTTCAAGTCTCATTTAAGGTCTTACAGCAATTGTTGTTATGTAACAGCATCAGCTGATGAGCTAAGGTTTCAGTGAGATAAGTGAGGAGTTGATGCATCAGCTTACAGAAGGGCACAGGGGGAATCGTTGAAAGCCTTTAATTAAAAGCTAGAACCACCCATGAATGACTTTTTAATGGAGAGAAATGTGTTTCGGCACAGCCATCAGTCTTCCTGTGTTAGGATATTCATCTCTGCTGCTTTCTTCCTCTCTTGTAGTTTGGTAGATTATGCTATTGTAGCTTAGAGAATTTAGCAAAAGCTGTCGAATGAAACAAAGCCTTTACACTTCTCTAAGGGAATTAGAAAGATAATATTTCATAAGGCAGTGCAGAAGCAGGAGTTAATGACAGTTTGTGTGTGAAAATAATAATGATGATGATCATATACTGGTGAGTGTGAGCTTTATTTTAAGGGCTCTCGCTGAGGTGAAGAATTGTCCGTTGTTGTGTCAGCAACATGAGACGGGCGTTGAACTGAAGGCTGTGGCCTGACGCTCGTAATGCGACACTGAGTCATGAAAGGAAAGGAGGAAGTGAGGCGGGGTGGGGACAGCGGACAGGAGGGAGGCAGATGTTTTGTTTCTTTCTTTGTATTTTGTGATGTTACAGCCTAAACTTTATATATTAAAATTAAATATTAAAATATTCCTTGTACGATGTGAGGGTCTAAGGACAGAGGGTCTAAGGACAGAGGGTGTCGTTTTTCTCATACTGATATTCTGAACAATCTGTGCTGTTGTATTTGCTGTAAAGTGTCTCTACTGTAGGCTAATTTTATTTTATGTACAGCACTTTGGCTCGACCAAAAATCGTTTATAAATGTGCTATATAAATCAAACTTGATTTGATTTGAAAAGATGGATAATTCGTTTTTAATGTGTGTGTTTTAATGTCTACTCTTAATTTAATGTATAATGTATAATGTTTAATGTATACTAATGTTTTAAGTATTTATAAGGTCATTTTAAATAGCTGGTCATTTCCTAGAGTAAGTACTTGGCGAGAATAGCTCTCCTCTCCGAAAGCATATTTGTACACACAGTGGTGCAATAACAGTATGTAAGTGATGGAACAATTTCATTATGTGGAGTAACATTTCCCATGACCTCATTAAAATCCAATTTCCAGAAACTGCAAAGAAAAGGATCTTTTCTTCAGCCTAAAAAACAAAGAAATGATTCCTTATTTGATAGCAGGTCCCTGTGTCACATCACAGTTCAGAACACTGTTGTGTTAATGTGTCATTTCCACACCTAATTTATTCTTTACCATCTCATCACAGACGGATGTCACAACTATTTAACTTCATAGTTTCCTTTATAACTTTAGTGTCACTATGGAAAACAGTTGTGTTCAAATATTATGATGATTTTGTTTTAAATCACATAACACCTTAAATATTTTCCTCCCGTTTTCCATGTCACACACACACACACACACACACACACACACACATACACACACACACACACACACACACACACACACACACACACACACACACACACACACACACACACACACACACACAGAATCAGTGTGCCAGCAGGGCACCTCTGAGTCCTGACTGGCAGCAGAATCATCATTCTTCACGTCGCCTTTCTCCTTCTCCATCTCTCACTCAGGGGAGGGGGCAAACAGGGACATGCTCTTTGCTCCTCTTCCTCGCTTCCTTTCATCTCCTCTTACACATTGCTTGCTCAAATGTTCTCCTCTATCTCCCCTTTGCCTTTTCCCCTTCATGTTGACGCAGGCCACAGGAGATGCAGAAGCTTTGTAATACATGTCTCCTTCTCTTTCTTCTTTTTCAGGTCAGATTGAAGTTTCAGCACCTACTTCAGCAGAGCTCAGATATAGTAAGCATTCTCATTACATTGTAATATTGCTGTATGCTTTAAAAGGAATTGAATGTATGTGGTTATGTGTATTTAATTATTTTCTTTATTTGGAGTGGTTAAAGGAGTACTTGATTACTAAATATATTCTCCTTAAACCTGCATGTTGACATCGCTCATTTAACGGTCTATCAAGCAGGAAGATGAATGAAGATCATTCTTAATGAACGTTAATGTGCCGGGTGTTGCGGTTTCGATGTTGATACTTTCTTTCAATGTCCTCTCCAAAGGACAGGGAATACAGTACATGCTGTAGGTGGCTTTGTGGGTTTTACGTTTTCCATGTGCAGATATGGCATTAGATATTGCACCTGATGTAGCAAACGCATGGGTACCCAAGGATATATATTAAAGCTGATTCTACTGTACAGTTCAAATCGTCTTATGACTTTATGACACAGAGCACACAATATTAAGCTATTACATCATGCTGGACACTGTGCTTGAGAGTCCTTTACAGTTCCCACAACAGTTAGCAGAGTACAACACAAACACACACACACACACACACACACGAACACACACACACTCAAAAGCTGTTAAATAGAAAAAGAAAACAAACAGTCCAGATATCAAGACTAAGACTGTGTCTCCTCACTGTAAACAGACTCCTTGTACTCCAGCTGCTGTACAGTAGCAGGCACTGTCTGAACAGTTAATGACCCTTTATATCGTATATTTATTGATTAATGTTTATGGTTTGTAAGATCCAACTTTTCCTTCCACTGAAGCTCTTCCTGTGGTTAGCAAATACTATATTTACAAGGCAAAAACCGGAAGAATTGCATGATCTATTACAATTGTTATAACATTTAAAGTTAGTTTAAATAAACAGAATTAGCACAGTGAGGGGGAAAAGGACAGGCCCTAAAGAAGATCACAAAATGTACCAACATTTGCAGCACTCTGTATTTGGTGTGAGATGTTATTTAGTTTATATCTATAGAATGTGTGAGCAGATCAATTCCCAGTTAATATTGAAGGTGACAGACTCACACGTATGTAATCCACCTGCACACACTCAGCTAAAAATAGGCATACTTCACTCTGCGCTGCTCAATTAGTGGCATACCCTCAGATCTCTCTCCTCCTGCCTCCGGCTGCTTGGTATGGTTCATATCAACTTGTGATCATTGATTTGATCCTGTCCAAAAGCAAAGACTTTCACTATGAGTAGAAACCGAGACATCGTGTGAGAGATCTCTCATCTAAAGCTCAGTGTTTTCTGCACAGCCGAATGTAAAAAATATGTACTCGGCTGTTGCCGTAGCAACAGCGTCAAACACAACAGTCGGGATTTTCCTTAAGACAGCAGCGTTTTTGTGTTGTGTATATCAATGCCTTGCTTATCTCCTACTGGGAGTTTCACGTGACGATGACTTCTGTGGAAAAAGTTTACTTGCTGATAAAACACATCCACTCAACTTTTGAGTCATCATAACACTCCGACCTAAAAGTCATGAAGTAAGCTTAAAAACTAATAAATGATCAAATCCTTGGTAAAGCTTCATCTCTTTGCAGACTTAACTGAGTAAATGAGACTGCAATTTGGAGCTGAGGTTTGCCAAAGAAAATCTCAAAAGTGGTATCGTTTGTTCCAGCAAATCCAAAAAGATGATGATTTTGTGTGTTTTTTAATATTTAAAAAACAAAAGCTGATTATTGTAATCATACCCGTTTTAGTATGCCACTTGCATCGGAAGCTGCTCATAAACTCTCCACAGCTCTGAATGTTTCTTGGCATTAATTAAGATAAGAACAGGTTGGTTAGATACACTGCGATCATAGGGAAAGCACAGAGGGCAGACCTACCATTCCTCTGCACAGAATACAACAGAGCAAAAGGTTAATAGCACATGATTAAAGTGTGGCCTGATGGCAGTAACTGTAACTAGGGTAAAGATCAGGCGTGATAAACCCTAACTCTAACCCACTTAAAAATTGAGGAACAGCTTCATAGTCATTTCATTCCTGGAGTGTTCACAAAAAGTACATTTATGGGAACTACTATAGCCAGAGGAGTCTATTTTTTATTTCCGCTCTTGGGGAGATAAGGAGTTCTCATTGGGAAATATAATGTGGATATCTTAGTTATCCCTGACGTTAAAAAAAAAAGCTACGCGGTCCGTTTTAAGTTGGAATAGGCCTTTTGCGTCATTGGCAAAAGCTGTGATAGATGACTAAAACATAGTCATGTAACCTGTCGGAACTGTAGTGCAAAAGAGGATGCTTTGTATGAAAGCATTCTGCAGAGCTAGAATAATAGAATGTCTCCTTCACTTCACTCTTGAGTGTCTAGTTGTTTTTCTGCAGAGAAGCATAAGGTCTCAGCGCTAAGAGATGGTGTGCTCTTCAACATCCAATCAAAGCTGCCCCTGGTGTAGTATTACAGTCAAGTCTGCGTTTAGGAAGTGACTGAGTAGGTATTTGTACGTAGTCACACATCAAGATTGGAAATTCTTCTTTTCCAGTCAGGCAGAGCTGCAGTAAAACAAGAGCTTGATTAAATACATTAGTGGCATTCAGGAGCTATTATTCTTTAAAGCAATCCCTTTTCTGCAGAACACTATAGCTTTAACTTTGCTCGAATTTAAAACCATAATAAGCTAGACCTTTCTCAGGATTTGACATTTGAAATTCACTTTCATCGCAGCAAAATGATATTCCACTGTAGCTTGTCTAAACATGTTACACACACACTCGCTCTACACATGTAAAGGGACAAATACATTACTCTCTGTAAAATATATACATTTTGATAGCCTCTTTGAGGAAATGGAGCTGCTTTATATTCATAACACTACTCACACACAAGGTCAAGGTTGAATCTCATTCCAGATGATTGATGCTTTCCAAATGTGAGGTGGAAAAATATTCAAATGGTCTTCACTGTGCTATAGAAAGAAAAGGGTTATATCTAACACATTATGGTACTTTAAAAATATCTATGGGGTTAAATGAATCATTTGATGTCACATATTCTATAAAGTTTAGGGAATAAACTAACAATCTTCACACTTGGATTACACTGTGGATGTTACATCATCAAAGCTACAAATGGTAGACAAACAACATATTAAAACTCTTGTGAATAAATGACTAGATTAGACTATCATTTTCTTTTCTTTTTTGTGTCTTGTGAAATAATGTTGTGTATCTCAGAGGTCTGCTTTGAAATGCTCAATTATGTCTAATGGGTTATTGCATATTAATGAAGACCTTAACACAACTGATGGTGATGTATTGTTGTTTGTTATTTCACAGTTCTGCTGCACAACGCTATCCCTTTTGTTGGATTTGGATTCCTGGATAACTGCATTATGATCGTAGCTGTAAGTGTGTCCGCTTCATGGAGTTCACTGCGAATACACATTCACTCGGTGTGAAGAGATGGATTTCCACTGAATCTGCGCTTGAATAATATATTGCATGTATTTATGATACTGTAGGAAGCTTTGAAGGAAGCATCAAGGCAAAAAGGAGAAATCTCTTTATTTTCTGCTAATGTATTTATAGCTCAGTATATTTCCTGTTTTTCTATCAGTCATGTTTGGCGCTCTGTCTCTCATCTCCAGTCCTTCCATTTCTCATTTCATCTGAAACTATTTTAAGCAGTGTGTCTGCCACAAGCATACCCACGTCTTATTAAGTCTTTGTAAAGTTGTTTAAATAATTAAATCTAACCACAGTGGAACAATGTGATCCTGCTCAGGAAATTAAAATATAATATTCTTCAGCTTCCTTTTAATGTGTGCTTTCACAGCCGGGTTATTTTCTAACCCAGAGATGTTCAATTATTTTGGAGGCATCTACAGGGAAATGAACAGACCAACTGAGATATATATACAAGGGAAAAAACAATAAAGAATATCCTACATTTACAGTAATTACATGGAATAACTTTGTCAATAACTTTGCCAAAAAGATAAAGAAAGATTGTGTTGGCACCAAATATTTATCTGCCTGTACTTTTTTAAATCCATACTTTTTTGATAAACTACTGTACCCTAGATCTTTGGTTGATTTACGTTTTGTATTATCCACTAAAACCAGGAAACTGAGGGACTGACATTTTAGAAAATATCTTTAAAAGCTTTGTAGTCCAGAATAACCTTTTGTTATGATGCACAGGAGACACCAAGTCAGCCTCCGTTTAATAATTCATTGTTGTATTCCTCTCTGAATGTCATGGAGAAAGAACATACAAATACAATATATTCCATTCTATAACTCATACATAAGCTTCCACTGATTGTTTGTATTATAAAATGACAAAAATAAATGGAACATTTTAAAATCATACAAATGAACCATAACGAGTGTGTTTGTGTTTGTTTGTTCCTCCCAGGGAACACATATTGAGTTATCCATCGGAGTGATCCTCGGCATTTCAACTATGGCAGGTAAGGGAATCTCAGGACCTTTATCCAGCTATATTTTGTTAAGGAAAATGTATATTTGTAATACCAATGAGAGAGTCCATTAGGCTGTTAAAAGAGGAAGAGAGATGTTTTTGTTGTTGTTTTCTATTGGATGGTTTTCATTTTTGTGGGACAAAGGCAGTGTTTTATCCACAATGTTGTACTGTATTGATTCTGTAGCTTTTAGAAATGTACTGAGTTCAGACATACTTTTTCTCGGCACAGACTCAAGTTGTAATCTTCATCTACTTCCAAATTAGAGTGCTGGTATGCCAAATCATATTGGACTCCCAACTCTTTAAAACAGAAATAGAAGAAGGCATTTTCAATTTCAGTGTCGGCAGAATACCCATTCTCATAATGAAGCTTTAATGATAAAGTCACAATTGAAACCTTGCTGTGACACTAATTCAAAAAGATAACATTAGAGAAAGAAATAGGAATGAGAGAGAGGCTGCCCTAGATAATGATTATTTCATGACTATAATAAGACAAGCAGAATGTGTTAATATCCACTTTACGTTTGCATTGTAATGTTATCCCATGTTCCCTTTCAGCGTATGTGACAGACACTGTGGTTACGTCATATTACCCTGCATGTGAATGTGGACGGGAGCTTTAAATAGAGGAGCACAGTGAAGCTAGTGAAGCAAAGTAAAAACAACCATTATAAATAATTGCTTAGTATTTCTACCCTTCTGCATATCCTATATCCGCAATCAACACCATCACTCAGTAAGCATCAGAATGAATGATGGGACTAGTTTTGGGGACACACTCTTTTATTTGTCCCTGCTCCAGCTCAGTCTCTTTACTGTGTTGTTGTCTATGGTGTATAGAAGTTTAAAGGGAGCTGACATTCCCACTTCTAAGTCTTGTCTTTCCTCTTCTGACTCTTTGTTGCTGCGTGTGTGCTTTTGTTTTACCTCAAGCTTTCAAAGACCAAATGTACTCAGCATACTGAAAGTCTGAAACATGTAGAAGAGCCAAAGCTGCTGCTGTAACAGAGGAGGTAGAGGCCTGAAGCATTTTTTATTCTACTCACAAGGAACTGCAAAGATGTGAAAAAAACAGAGCAAAGCAAAAAGCAATGGAACATTAAGGGATATAACGTAGAGAGGAGGTCTTTTTATGTTCTCTTTGCGATGCTTATTGTGCCAAACAACTATAACAGGTAATGGATGATTGGGATTACGATTAAGCCAAAAGAGCAGCTTCAGGCTTGATAAGATGTATAGATGAAAGGGTTACAAACTCAGCCAGAGCATGTAATACTCGTTTTTAATGAGGCTTCTAGTTGTTTGATAGGCAGACCTTGTTATCTCGGTGGTATAGAGAGATTTGTCAGTGAGCCCCAGCTGCAGAAATACCCCCAAATATTAGTGATTTGTGAACAATGTAGGAAACCACCACTCAGCCACGGATGGAAGAAAAACAGGAAGAGCCTTTATTCTTTCCGCAAGGGCAGCCTCATCTCAATCAATCAATCAATCAATATTTATACAGCCCAATATCACAAATGTTACATTTGTCTCAGTGGACTTCACAGTTTGTACAGAATATCAGTATGACAATACGACACCCTCTGTCCTGAGACCCTCACATCGTACAAGGAAAAACTTCCACGGAAAAACCACAGTTTTAAAGGGGAAAATGAGAGAAACCCAATCTATGGAGAAACCTCAGGGAGAGCAACAGAAGAGGGATCCCTCTCCCAGGACGGACAGACGTGCAATAGATGCCGTGTGTAAATCGAAGAGATAATACATTTACAGCATAGGTAGTCCAAATGTTTGGAAATGCATGTGTCTATAATAAGAAGATGAATCCACGAGGATGTCAACAATCCTGTGGGAGCCATCAGGGAAGTAGTATGATGAAAGTCAGGCAGGACCACAGTGACAGGTTCAGCCACGACTCGAAGTCCAGGACTCAAATCCAGGACTCAGGATAGCCAACCCAGTCTCACATCTAAACGTGTAATAACTACGTTGGTCCACAACTTGGGACGTAGTATTTCTACAAAAACGCCTCTGAAATTGTAAGATCCCTACGTTTTTTTTCACCATTCATTTCCAATGGCTGGCGTCTATGTCACGTGATCTTCAAATTTCTCTCCGCATAAAAAAAAAAACATGGCCGACCTTCATTTTATTCTCGGTGGAAAATGCCTATTTTAAGGTTAGTTTGGCCATTAAAATGTGTTTTGATGTAATTTGATGCGAGAAATATGAGTTGTTATTTCAGATTATGTGTGCAGTGGATGCACATGATCTTTAGTTTGCTAGTTATTACGAAGAGTACTTCAGGAAATGGTGTACACACAACGTGTTCATTGTTACCAAGGTGGTTGCTAGGGGGACGCTGCTATCGATATTATTTCTGTTATGTTGTGTAACTGTTTAATGGTGTTACCTTTATTGCTACCCCCTTCCACGTCAATTTATAGTGTTGGTCCACAGCGCAAACTTATTAGTTTAACAAAATCCGCATCTAAAATTGTGGCATAGATACGTTATTTTCCCCTGTGCAATTCTCCAACCCAGTCTCACATCTCACATCTCACATCACATCGTCATAAGCAATACCGGAAACAGGCAAGATCCTCAGCTCGGTGATTGGATAGTTTAGCCGCAATGCACGTTGGGAGATGGTGTTCATGCGATGTGAAATCCGAAAACATAAAAATAATACTTTATTCCGAGTGTGCTTGCTTTTCTCTTTGAAAGTCATCACATAACGGCATTGTAATACACGGTTCGGCTGCATTAAATATTACATATCTGCCGTAGTTCTCTATTTATAGAGCCCTGATGAGAAGACTTCTTGACAAACAGGAAGAACTGCCGTCAAAATTGAAAACGTGACGTGGATCATAAATATACGAATGAAAAACTTGGGTCGCAGGTTCCTCAACAGTGCATTACAAGACATCTATCAATATGTGTATACCTCCAGCAATGTTAACTATGTTGTAGTACTTATTTTAACTGATATTATACATATGTATTATACTCTTATAAGATGTATGTAGATAGTATAAGAAATGTGCAGAATATGACAGTTTAATGGTGGAGGTATAGACACATATTGATAGATGTCTTGTAATGCACTGTTGAGGAACCTGCGACCCAAGTTGTTCATTCATTGCATAACTACACCATAGTTGTGTATAATATGATATGTCAATAAACCTTAGAAAATCTTGAAAGGGATGTGCAAAATAGTCAATATATAAAGTCTTTAATTAACTATTAGTAGAGAATAACGAGTCATGAATATACTTTATAGGGATCCTATTAATATCTAATAATAAAAATAATAAAATTCAATAAAAAATATATAAAATATATTTTAAGATCATGTTTAATCATCTGATTCGTCTGTACATTGCTGTTTTAGTCTGTGTTCTTCTAATTAGTGTCTACACTCAGTGTGTGCCTATTGAGCTGTTTAGAGCCATGTGGGACAAAACCCGATCATGCCCCTCCCTCTCACTGTCTAAGACTGGTGAATGTAAAAACTACACTGCTTATGCTCAGAGTATTTTCCTATTTAATGTGTGTAATAGAGCTGTGGCTTTCTGTCAGCCTGGCTACAGTGCTGAAAATAAATCTTACATTATTCTTATTCTCATCTATTAATGAAGAGTAGTAGGCTGCTCTCGCTTTACGCAGTGCTTTCTTATATTCATTGAGAGTAATATGCCAAATTAAACGAGATTCTTCAAGTTTAGTGGAACGCCATATCCTTTCAAGTTGTCTCGACTTTTGCTTTATTTTGCGGGTTTCGGCATTATGCCATGGAGCTAATCTATGTTGTTTTATTTTCTTCTTTTTCAAAGGAGCAACAGAGTCTAATTTGCAGCGCATCTGTAGCACTATCAACAACATGATCAATTTGGGGTGGTGTACATTTATATATATATATATCTTCCCTTACATCAGTGGTTCTCAAAGTGGGGGGCGCAGAGGCATGACGGGGGGGGGGGGGCGCGAGAGACCAGGAGGAAAAATGGTTATTAAAAACATAATAATAATATGATACAGTACAGTACTATTACGTCTGGGTCTCTGTGTTTCATTAAAGCTCGGCTCTGTGTGTGTGGAGCGAGCCATTTTGTGTGCGTGCACGCGTGCACGAGCGAGAGAGAGAGAAATGTACCGGAGATCGTTGTTGTTAGCTTCTGGTGCTAGCGCGCTACGCAAACGGATATATGGAATTTTTTCAACAACAAAGTGGAGGAGAGTCCTCTCCTGTCATACTGAGAGACTCAGTGAACTAAAGGACTCTCTCAGTGTTTAGATAGTTCACTTTAGTCTAAGTTATCTCAGCGGGTCTCAAACGTTTTGGTCACCATTAATGTAAGGCAAGGCAAGGCAAGTTTATTTATATAGCACTTTTCAACACAAGGCAATTCAAAGTGCTTTACAAAAAATGAAAGACATTAAGAAAATGGCATTTAAAATCAGTCATTAAAAATAAAAGCTAATAAAATAAACATTAAAAGAAAAAATACATGGATAAAAGTTACAGTGCAGTTTAAGATGTGAATAGTTCAATTAAAAGCAGCGACAAAAAGAAAAGTCTTCAGCCTGGATTTAAAAGTAGTCAGAGTTGCAGCGGACCTGCCGGTTTCTGGGAGTTTGTTCCAGATATTTGGAGCATAATAACTGAACGCTGCTTTACCATGTTTAGTTCTGACTCTGGGGACAGAAAGCTGACCAGTCCCTGAAGACCTGAGAGATCTGGATGGTTCATAATTTAGCAGGAGGTCAGAAATGTATTTTGGGCCTAAACCATTCAGTGCTTTATAAACCAGCAGCAGTATTTTGAAATCTATTCTTTGACACACAGGAAGCCAGTGTAAAGACTTCAGAACTGGAGTGATGTGATCCACTTTCTTAGTGTTAGTGAGGACTCGAGCAGCAGCGTTCTGAATCAGCTGCAGCTTTCTAATAGATTTTTTAGTGAGACCTGTG